CAAAGGTGTGATTTTCTCCTGTCCTAAGGCAGTGTTTGTCCACTCCATCCTTATGCTACCTTCCCCAGTGAGCAACTAAGCCTGATTGCTCTTTGTACAACTAGTTGCTTCCTGGAGGAAGCTGGACTTGCTTTTCCCTTCTATCATGTAACCTCTTTTAGACTGGCCCTAGCCTACATCTGTATCACATCTGTGCCCAGTGCTTCTTCAGGGGGCTTCTTACATGGCTGAAAGTGAAACCAATTCCTCAGTCCTAAACAGTTCCTTGGAGGCATAGCTCTCTGTCTTCAGTCCTACTATTTCCTTTGTTTCCAGTAAAATCTTGTTTCCTTCGTGGCAGTTTCACCACTTTATTTGCAGTTCACACTTCCCCCGTTCATCAGACAAGCATGATATATCTTTGTGGAGTTTCTCAGTGAAGTTGGGAGCTCTAGGCTCTTACTTCTGTTGTTGCCTGGCTTTAAGGCACACACTACTAAGCTTCTTACTTTCCTAAATTCAATTAAAAGTGAAAAGGATAGACCAAATGTGGAAGACATCACATCTCAGTTCTCTTAAGCAGAATTTAAAACATTCCAAACAGCATATTGTATAAAATTAACAAGTTATTACTATAACTTTTATTTTATATAATCTGTTCACATCTAAAATAACAGAACGCACTGTTCCTATGTGTGGAGAGATGGGGAAACATTGATACACTTACTCTTCCTGGAAGGCATTTTGCAAAACCCACCAAAACTTTTACTCAGCAATTCTACTTCTAGGAATTTATTGAAAGAAATATCTCACTGCGCAAAATTGTTCTGCTTTAATCTTATTAATAGCAACAAATGAAATTCCCCAAACTTAATTGTCCAGATACAGGATTGATGGAAGGTTCCAATATATGCATATGGTAGAATATAATGCAGCCATTAGAATGTTAAACAATTCTTTCCCTAGAGTGCACTATGATTAACTTTTTAAATGTCCCATGTCTAAGTGTGAGGTATGTGCGTGATGAATCTATGCATGGAGTTACAAGGAGGCGTACACTGTGAGTATGAGTATGGCAAGTGAGATGGAGCTCTAGGGCGTGTGGCCTTAGCTGCCCCAGGGCATGTGGGACCTTAGTTCCTTGGCCAGGGATCGAACCCACATCCCCTGCAGTTGAAGGTAGATTCTTAACCACTGGACCACCAGGGAAGTCCCAAGAAAGTTACATTATAATCACGTTATTTTAAAAATTTAGTTTAAATAGGTAGTAAATGCTCATTAAATAAGAAAGTAAATAAATACAGTAAAAATAAAAGTCATAAAAGACAGCTGTACGAGATCCTCTTCTCACCTCCAGGCCCATCTGCTCAACTCCTATTCCAGGTAACTACCATTATTAACTACTTATTAATAATTTCAGTTTTACTTTTTTTAGGGAGCCGCATAAAAGCAAATAGATGCTCCATTCTCATTTTCCCCATTTTTTTTCACAAATAGTACCCTCTGTTGTGCACTGTGCTGTTTTCCTCAGCCCTGGGAGCCTGCTCCTTTTTCTGTAGAGTTGTACTGTGCATGTGCTTTCATTAGTTTCCTAGTCATAGACAGTTACGTTGTTTCCAGTCTTCTGCTACTGCATACTCTGCTGCGGAGAACCCCCTTGTATGCTTGTCATTTCACAGCTGTACAGGGGTGTCTTAAAGTGGAAGAGCTGGGTCAAGGGCAAGTGCATTTGCAGTTTTACAGATATTTCCAGATTTTCCTGCCACCTCTTTCTATGGGAGCACTTGTTTTGCTATCGGCCTGCCCACAGACTGTATTAGCAACAGATTGTGTTATTCTGATAAGTATAATGTAGTAGCTGAGTATAGATTTAAGTTGATTTTCTCAGTTATGGGTTTTGTATTTTCCTTTATGCTAATTTCTCTTACTATTCTTTGCCCAATCTTTTCTATCAGAGTGTTGGTCTTTTTCTTCTTGCTCTTGTATTATGAGTTGCAAGTAGTTTTCCTCAGTTTTTCATTGTCTTTTGACTTTCCTTATGGGTGTTTTTGTTTAAATACAGTTGAATGTATAATTTCTTTAAGCCATAGCTAGAAACATATTATTCACTCTGAGGTTAACTGGAAAAGCATCTAAATTTTCTTCATGTAATTTTCATCTTTTTTTTTTTTTTAATTTATTGGCTGTGCAGGACTTCAGTAGTCGTGGCTCTGGGCTTTAGAGCACAGGCTCAATTGTTGTGACTCATGGGCTTAGTTGCTCGGTAGCATGTGGGATCTTCCTGGATCAGGGATCGAACCTGTGTCTCCTGTTTTGGCAAGCAGATTCTTTACCACCGAGTCACCAGGGAAGCCCCTCATCTTCCTTTTTTTAACTGCTTTGTTGGTATGTAATTGACATATCAAAAATGCATCATATATTTAACGTATATATTAATAATTTGATGACCTCAGACATATGCAATATACCCAGGTGGTGCTAGTGATAAAGAATCTGCCAATGCAGGAGACATAAGAGATGCAGGTTTGATCCTTGGGCCTGGAAGAGGACATAGCAACCCACTCCAGTATTCTTGCCTGGAGAATTCCATGGACAGAGGAGCCTGGTGGGCTACAGTCCGTGGGGTTGCAAAGAGTTGGGCATGACTGAAGCAACTTAGCATACATGAAAGTGTTACCTCGATTAGGCAACTTAACACACATGAAAGTGTTACCTCGATTATAGCAATGGTTTCATGTAATTTTATGCTTTTATTTTTTACATTGCCATTTTAAATTTGTTTGGAACTTATCAAGGTACATGGTGAGAGGACTGGGTACAACTTATTTTTTTTTTTTTCTGGATGACTACCCCTTGTTTAAGCACCTTCCTGATCTGAGTTGCCATGTTTATTATATGTCTTTAATTATTTGTTCTTTTTGTCTCTTCACATACCAGTATTGCATTGTTTTATTTATTAAAGCTTCATAAAGTATTTTAATACCTTCTTCATAAGAGCAGAACTTTCTTGTTACTCTTATAGAGTTTTCCTCATTATTCTAGTTTATTCATTTTTCCTTATTAATTGTAAAAATGGCTACTGAATTCAAAACAGAACACCCCAAGAACCTGTTGGTGTTTTCACTGGGGTTGTGTTAAAATTTGTAAACTAATTTGGGGGAAATTGATATCTTTGTGGTGTTGAGTCTTACTCTCCAAGGACATGTAGTCATATCTTCTTTTATATCATTCAGCAGCAATTAAAAAAAAACTGTTTAATATGCTCTAGAAAATGATAGTTGAAATTTTAAAATTTGGTAAGAGATTGAAAACTGTAACAAACCAACCATTTTTGTAGGTTTTAAAAATTTATTTATTTATTTTTGCATACTTTACGTAGCTACTAAGGGCAGTAAGAAATGCCAATATTTCCATGCCAATACAAGTACATGGAAAAAAATGAGAATAGTGGGAAAGGACTCTAGGCTACATACCTAATCCCAGTGGAGAAGGAGGAGACCATGGGACAAGAGGTTGCCTCTTAAAACACTGATAAATATTGATAATAACACCTTGCATCCTATATACTGCTTTCAATAACTGTCTTTTACAACATCTCATTAATTTTTTTCTTTTTTTGGCCACACCACATGGCATGTGGGATTTTAGTTCCCTAACCAGGGATCTAACCCATGCCCCTTGCAATAGAAGCACTGAGTCTTAACCATGAGACGTCAGGGAAGTCCCCACAAAAACTCATTAATTAATAGAACCTCATAGATTCCGACAAAACAGAGTAAATACCCATTTTGAGGTGGCTTGCTAGAAGAAAAAGAATTTACCTGCTAGCACACATGTAAAGAATACAATCACCAACTATGGGCCAGAGCCCTAATAAAATGTGATTCGTAAGTTTTATTTTAAGTGTTAACACACATAGAGAAAAGTAAAGAAAACCTAAGTTTCACCTCAATGAATTTTCACAAATTAAATGCCCCCATGTAACCAGCATCCAGATTAGAAAATGAAACAAAACTAGGATCCCAGAAGACTCTGAGTCTCCTTCCAGGCACTCTTTGTAAAGGGTAGCTACTATCTTGTCTCATAACATCAAGTATTTGTTTTGCATAAGCTTGTACTTCACATAATGGAAGCATACTGTATGTACTCTTGGCATATCCAAATGTATTTACCCATAGCATTGATGACCATTTGAATCCAGTGTTTACCTGTTATGAAAATTGCTTCTGTGAGCATTCTTGCACATTCTTACGTTGATCATGTAAGAGTATTTTTGTCGGTTAATTACCTGAAAGTGAACACTTTTTTAGCATATATACATACATACATACATATGTGTGTGTGTGTGTGTGTATATATATATATATATATAGCTATGGAAGATAATATGAGAGAATATTTTCCAGGATACATGTTTCAGTTTATGCCCTGACCTGAGTGTATGAGCTCCAAGTGCTCTTCTTTTTCCAGTTGCTCTTAATATTTGCTGTCTTTCTCATTTTAGCCCTTTGGGTTTTAGGGTAATATGCCATTGTGGTTTTAGTTTGCATTTCCCTGATCACTAGTGAGATTGAACATCTTTTGTACATTTATTGACTGTTTAGATATCCTCTTTGAAGAAGTACCTGTTCAGATTTGTTATCTATTTTTGTATTGGGTATACTGTCTTTTAAAGTTGATTTTTGCATGTTCTTTATATGTCCTGGATGTGTCCTCTGTTGAATAAAAGAATTATGGGGAAAAAAATACCAAATGGAAATTCTACAACTGAAAAATATACAATAACTGACATCAGGAAAATCAATAAGCAGGTTTATCATCACATTAGATACATCTGAAGAGAAAAGTCGAAGTTAGATCAGAGGATAATTGCCACACTGAAACTCAGAGGGAAAAGAAGATGGGAAACAAAACAATATAAAATATATAATTTATATAACATATTATGTAATATATGTATGTATACATACACAGATACTGGTTAAAAAGTTTAACATAGGCATAGTTGGAGTTGCAGAAGAATGAAAGAGAAGGAGCAGAAGCAACACTTGAAGAGAAAAATAACTTGTAGTTTGTCACTGAAACTTCCTAATTCAGTTTTCATGTGCTTAATAAACGTCAGCTATTATCACTGTCAATATTACTGTTTTTCCTACTCCTGTGAAAAATTTATACTGTTGACAATATCACTGGATCCAAATCTACTAGGACATTTATTCATCAAAGAACTTATGTTCCTGAGGTTTTTATCCTCCTGCTCCTCCACTTCCTTGTGCTTCATCATGCTTTATTATGGTAACCCACTCCAGTATTCTTGCCTAGAGAATCCTGTGGACAGAGGAGCCTTGTGGGCTGCTGTCCATAGGGTTGCATAGAGTTGCACACGACTGAAGCGACTTAGCATGCATGCATGCGTTGGAGAAGGAAATGGCAACCCACTCCAGTATTCTTGCCTGAAGAATCCCATGGACAGAGGAGCCTGGTGGGCTGCCATCTATGGGGTCGCACAGAGTCGGACACGATTGAAGCAACTTAGCAGCAGCAGCAGCATACTTTAAATCCTCCTATTAAAAAAAAAAATCCTATTTATTTTTCCTTTTTTGTTATATTTACTAGTTTATTTTTTTTATTCTACATGTAAGTGATATCATGTAGTATTTGTCTTTCTCCAGCTTATTTCACTAAGCATAATATTCTCTAGGTCCATTCATGTTGCTGCAAATGCCAAATTTTCATTCTTTTATGGCTGAGTAATATTCCATCTTGAACCAGGTTATCTGTTGATGGGCACTTGGATTGTTTCCATGTCTTGTCTATCAAAAATAGTGCTTCTGTGAACACTGAGATACATATATCTTTTTAAATTAGAGTTTTCATTTTTTCCAGATTTATGTGTAGGAGTGGAATTGCTGGGTCATATGGTAGCTTTATTTTTAGTTAGTTTTTTGTATTTTTTTTTTTAAGGAATCCCATACTGTTTTCCATAGTGGCTGCACCAACTTGCATTCCCATCAGTAGTATAGAAGAGGTCCGTTTTCTCCATACCATCTCTGGCATTTTTTATTTGTGGACTTTTTGATGATAATCATTCTGATTGGTGTGAGGTGATACTGCTTTGTGGTTTTGATTTGCATAATGAAGTGGAGCATCTTTTCCTGTGCCTGTTGGCCGTCTCAGTGTCTTCTCTGGGAAAATGTCTATTCAGGTCTTCTGCCCATTTTTATATCAGGTTTTTTTTTTTTTGATGTTGAGTTATATATTTTGGACATTAACCCATTATTGATCAAATCATTTCCAAATACTTTCTCCCATTCAGTAGGTATCTTTTCATTTTGTTGATGGTTTCCTATGCTGTGCAAAAGCTTTTAAGTTTAATTAGTTTCCATTTGTTTGTTTTTTCCTTTTATTCCCTTTGCTTTAAGAGACAGAAATATGGCTAAAATTTATGTCAGAGAGTGTTCCATCTATGTTTTCTTGTGTGAGTTTTATCGTTTCTGGTCTTACATTTAGGTCTTTAATCCATTCTGAGTTTATTCCTGTGGGCTCCCCTGGTGGCTCGGATGGTAAAGAATCTACCTGCAGTGCAGGAGAAACCCAGGTTTGATACCTGGGTTGGGAAGATACCCTGGAGGAGGGAATGGCAACCCACTCCAGTATTTTTGCCTGGAGAATTCCATGGACAGAGGAGCCTGGAGGGCTGTCATCCATGGGGTCACAAAGGACACAGCTGAGTGACTAACACAAAAGGTATAAGAGAATATTCTAATTTCATCTTTTACATGTAGCTGTCCAGTTTTCCCAGTACCATTTATTGGAGAGACTGTCTTTTCTCCCTTGTATATTCTTGTCTCCTTTGTCATGGTAAATCCCATTTAAAGTATACAATTCAATGCATTTAGTATATTCACAGATTTGTGTAACCATTACAAAAATTTTAAAACATTGTAATCTTTCCAAAAAATCATCCCTTTCTCCAAAAATATTAAAAAAAACACATAAAACCGCCAAACCCTACTTCCCTAAGCTGTCAACCTCTGGTGGCTGGTACTCTACCTTTTGTCTCTACAAATTTGACTATTCTGGACATTACATGTAAATGGTATCATATAATATGTAGTTCTGTATAACTACCTTCTTTCACTTAATATGGTGTTTTCAAGGTTTATCCATGTTGTAGCTGTCATCAATAGCTCATTCCCTTTTATTATATTCTGTTGAATAGATGGATGGATGGAGATATAATGAACTGAGATGGGGAAGACTGAACAAGAAGCAGATTTTTAGGGAAAGACTAAAATTCAGTTTTGTAACATGTTTGCCGTGCCTACAAGCTCTGCAAGATTTTTTTGGTAGGCAGTTGGATGTAAGGGTTTCGAACTCAGAAGCCTGGGAGGGCCTCATGGTATGAATTTGACATGGGGTTTTTATCTATAAGAATATCACTTGGTAATATTTGTTTATTTATTTTTAATTTGGCTACACTGAGTCTTAGTTGCAGCACGTGGGATCGTCCATCTCCGTTAAGGCAGGCGAACTCTTAGTTGTGGCATGTGGGATCTGGTTCCCTGACCAGGGATCAAACTCCGGGCCCTCTGCGTTGGGGGCGCGGAGTCTCAGCCTCTGGACCACCGGGAAGTCCCTCAGCTGTTCACATTTAAAGCCATAGAAATAGGGGGGGAGTCAGAGATGGATAAGGCCACCTACGAAGGAGGATGAGGGGAGGGCCAGACGGAGGAGACGAGCAGCTAGAGAGCTGGGAGGAGGAGTGACCATCAAACTCCACCCGGGGGACAGGGAAGATGAAGATGGGAGACAAACGGTCTGTTCTCTTTGACAACCTGAACGCATTTGATCTCTTTTTACTCAAATCAAGCTCCAGGAATAGTGTTCCCCTCCCCCACAGTAGTTTCCACATGTCCCTTTCCAAGCACACAGCCTTTTAAGTACTTCAAGCGTTAAATCTCAGTGACGTTTCCATTTTTGTTTTTTTTGCTTATCTGTTTTCTTATCTCTACAGCAATAAGTATTATGTAGTAATAATAGAAAAAAAATCCATTGTATTAGATGATAATATCTGCCTGTTCCTGAGCACCCGTGTGGCCAGCAGAACAGCATCCCTGTAAGTGCTGCTTCTCCCTCCTGGCCTCAGATGGGGACCCGGTGACAAGAATGATACTAACAACCTTTGCTACTTACTCGGTACCGCTTGGCTTCACTCTGGGCTACAGAGCTGGGAGCTTTGTGTGAGGCTTGTGCTCCATTGTATGAATCAGGGGCAGAAAGAAAAGAGGGCTCTTTACCATATCCACCTGGAGGCTGCCTGCTAAGTGCCCTGTTTAATTAGACATGCCTTTTATCCTAGGTTTCTGAACCGGCTAAAGTTGTGGTGTCTGCTCTCAACAAGGACTGGGGGAAGAAGGCATGGAATTAATTAAACCTAGAGGAAGAGACATTGAGGGGTGGAGCTAAGGGGGGAAGAGAGGAGAACCCTTTAAATAAAGGGCGCACAGAGGGCTACCCAGGAGCGCCTCCTCTACCGTGTCCTCTGCAAGAAGGAGCCAGCCCTGAGCGCGAGGGGTATGATGGAGCCTGAAGAGTACAGAGAGAGAGGTGAGCACGGGTGTCCCTGGGCCTTTCCTGTGGCCACTCTTCTAGAAACTGCTGCTTAGGTGTTCGGGTGTCTTTTGACTGGAGCACTAGAGCTGACTCTTGAGAGTTGGCTTCTGCAAAATTTTTCCTGAGATGGGAATGTGGGATCAGAGTTTAAAACTTTTCCCAGCCTCTTGTTCATCATCCCTCTCAGGCACCGACTTATGAACGTCCACACTGCTGAGCCATGCTCTTTCTTTCCATTTTCCCACAGAATAGGGCATTTGAATTTCTGATCCACTAAATGGGAAAAAAGGGGGATCATTCATTTTCTGAAAGAGAAAAGAATTCCTCTTAGTATTCTGCAGTCACTGCAAAAATCTCATCTTTCTTCCTGTTTGTTTCTGTGTGACTCTGCCTGGAGAGTTCTTTCATTTAGTCATTCACTCCATATTTAAAGAGCACCTACTGTGTCTCAAACCTTGTGTGATGAGCAAAACCAGATGGTTATCCTGTTTTTCAGGCATGGCTGTCCTAAGAGGGGAAATAGGTAGTTGCTTATAATTTCTCTTTTGTAAGTGTTTATATCCTCATCCCCACTAGTAGGTTATTTTGTGGTAAGTCATGGTCTTATATTAAAATCCAACTTTTCCTCTCGTCTACCCAGACATAACTCACTAAGTAGATATGTCTTTGCATTTCAGTGGACATTAGCTTATTCCATTGCTTTCCAAAGGCATTCAGCCGAGAGCAGGTTCCTGTGGACATTTATCCTGTGTGTGGAGCACAAAAACATTCCATACAGTCCCTGGACAAGTGGAGGGCTAGGTCCAAGGTGCTCAGAGCAGTGGGGGGATGCTGCTGCAGTCGTGAGAGGCATCAGGCCGTGGGAGGGTTGGAGGAGACCACAAAGGAGAGAAGGGTCCTGGGAGTTTTCACAGTTTTGTCTGGGGCTAGTTTTGTTCATAAGAATTTTTCGTGAGCTGATGCATTCGGAAGACATCAGATTCTCTTTCCTTGTCTCTCTCTCTCTCTCTCTCGCAGGGAGAAAGGAGCCTAGGGAGTCCTAAGGAGGAATGATAGATATTGAGAGAGACGGAGAGGGAGAGAAACAATGACAGAGAGAAAGAGACAGAGGCTCTGAAGATAGAGACCCTTTTCTGCAGAAATGAAGGAAGAAAGAATAGATAATTTGCAGTGACTTCAAGTATTTGACTTGGGTGTTTTTCTTCCTTATTTATTTTTTTCCCTGTTAAATCCTCATTTAATGAAGTATACTTCTCGAACATATCACACTTGTTCAGGGATCAAACGTTTGGGTAGGTATGGTTGCAGTTAAGAAAAAAGTAGGGAAAGGAAAGACTACAGTGAAGTCTTAGGGTAGAATTTTCAGAAGATTTATAACATGTATAATATTCAATCAATGTACCACATTTTCCTATTACAGATTTCATTCTTGGTTATTTACTAGAAGTAGATATAAGAAAAAGGGGACATGATTTGACTCTTAAGACATGAAATCTATCTATGTATGAAATACACATAAAATTTGTTTTTAGATTATTTGGAAAACATGTAAAGGAGAATCTTTCATAATAATTGTTGCTTTGCTTAATCGTATCCCACATTAGCTTTATAAGGTCTGAGTTTTCTTCCTTATTTTAGTCGTTCATTTGACAAAATTTTTTGAGCATCTGAAAACTGTTCCAGGCACTGAGGTGTTGGTGGAGACAGAATTGAGGGAGATAAGTTGATTAAGACATAGTCCTGCATTTCCCCAAGATTT